CATATTTCAAGTGATATATGTGGACCAATTCATCCAAGTGTGAACCATTTAGATATTTTATGATTTTAATAGGTGCATCTATAAGATGACCATGTATATGCTTATCATCTAATTGAAACCCGACTTTTTCGAGGTTGTTAGCTCAAATAATTCAATTACGAGCATAATTTTTAAATTATTCCATTAAAACAATTCGCCTTGATAATACCGATGAATTTATTTCTCAAGTATTAAATGAGTATTGATTAGCTATTAGAATAAAGGTTGAATAGCCTATTTCTTATGTTCATTATAAAAAAGGTTTAGCGGAATCATTTATTGAAAGGTTTCAACTGATAGTTAAACCATTATTTATAAAAATAAAACTCTCTGTTTAAGTTTGGGGATATGTAATCTTACATACAACAATATTTATTTGCATCGGACCTATAAGTTATCGAAATTCTTTCCTTTCAATTGGTTAATGGTCATGAGCAAAATATTTTTCATCTAAATTTTTTTGGTTGTGCGAGTATATAGCATTAAGGGAAGAAAATAAGCAAAATAAGTAATTAAAAATGTTAGAAAAAAGATATTACATGGAGTGCTCCATCCGTACATGATCTTGATCCTCATAAAAAATAATGTGAACTAGAAATTCGAAAGATAATTTATTTATAAAATATTACGGATCAACTCGCCAGATACATTCTCAAATCCAAAAAAATAACTAAAATGTATGTCCTCACCGAGAATGCTCATATTGGAATTCTTATTATAGAAGGATAATTTATTAATGTTATAATAAATGAATCTAAAACATGTCATAAGCATGGAAGATCGATCGGTCCTAAAGATAAAAATTTCAAAAAGAAATGAGTAAATAATCAAGATGAAAATATAAATGATGCAAATATTAATAAAACGGTCCAAGATATATCTAATAATAGGCTTCCAAAAGAAGTCCAAATGCTTGAGAACAATTAAGAGACTTTGATAAATTATGTCAATATAGAGAGAAAATAGGATAAAAAAATATTTATTGATAACATTTTTTCATATAAAATTGCAATTGATATTTTGAATGAAAATAAGGATCCCGATCTTAAATTTATTGAAAAATATCGACACAAAGATGATTGGTCTAAATAAAAAGAGCAATCTAGACAGAATTACATTTTCTTACAAATGAGTAGTTTTTGAATCCATAATCAAAACACCTAAAGATGTTAAACCAATGGGATATAAATGGATGTTTGTACAAAAATAAAATAAGAAAGATGAGATTGTAAGATACAAAGCAAGACTTATAACTCAAGAGTTTTTGCAAAGACCTAACATTGACTATGAAAAGATATATTCTCCTGTAATGGATGCTATTATATTTCATTATCTTGTTAGCCTAAAAAAATATATAAAAAAATTTCATATGAATGTATTTAATGGATTTGATCATAGCTTATTTGTTCACTTAAAATGTATTTATATAAAAGTCATAGAACGACATAAGATGCATAAAATAGTATTATTTTTATTATTTTAGTTTTTAGAAATTCAATTTATACTATATTTTTTTTCAATATTTACTCTTTATTGCTAGCATGTGTGAATATGATATAATCATTTCAATGAATATTTATTGAAAGAAAATTATAAAAATAACCCTATGTATTCATGTATTTTTATTCAAAAAGGAGTTTATGATAATTTTTGTATATGTTAATGACTTAAATATTATTGAAACTTTTGAAGAGATTCCAAGTGTCACCGAGTTATCTAAAAGGAGAATTTAATATGAATACCTTGGAAAAATAAAATTTTATCTCGACTCGCAATTTAAGTACTTACAGAATGAGATTTTTATTCATCATTCAATTTATATAGAAAAATTTTACAATAGCTCTATATAAAACTCATCCATTGAATAGTTCAATGATAGTTCATTCACTTGATATCCAAAAAGACCATTTTCAGCCCCAAAAAGATAACAAAAAACTTTTTGGTCCTGAAGTACTATATCTTAGTGTCATTAGTTCATTAATGTATTTTGCTAATAATATCCGACTCGATATAACATTTTTACGTAAATTTATTAACAAGGTATAATTATGCTACAACACAAAAATATTGTAATAGAATTAAACATATATTACATTATCTTCTAGAAATAATTAATATGGGCTTATTTTACTCTAATAAATCAAAGACATGATTAATTGATTATGTAAATGTAGATTATATATTTGATCCATACAAAACTCAATCACAAACTGATTATGTATTTACACATGGTGATATAGCTATATCATGACGTTCTATGAAGCAAAGTGTAGGCTGCTATATATTCAAACCATGCAAAAATACCAATTCATGAGATAAGTTAAGAATGTGTTTGGCTAAGATCAATTATTCATCATATTTGAGAGACATGCGGTTTATCTACTAGCAAAGAAGTTCTAACAATATCATATGAAGATAATGCTACTTGCACAATTCAATCAAAAGAAGAATACATCAAAGTGATAATCTAAGAGACATATTCATTAAGGCATTACCTATCATGATTTTTGAGAAAATGAGAAAGATGACAAAACTAAGATGTGTCGTTTTAAAAATCTTAAATAATGTTTTCAACGAGGAGGAGCCCAACATAGATATTAATATGTATAAGGAATATTGTATTCTTTTTTTACTAATATTTTTTTTCATTGGATTTTTTTCTAGTAATATTTTAATTAGGTATGTTCCTTGTATAGTAGACATTCAAAGAGGAGTGTTATGAAATAATGAATGTCTATTTCATATTCTTACTACTCATTATTTTTAATGTGATTTAATTCACCATTCAATATAAGAAATTGAAAAGATGATACAATTAATTCAATTATTTATGTACCTTTAATGGTTTATAGTCTCTTTCAATTTTTTTCCTAATTTAAGAATTATTTTAAATTGTTGTCTCTTGTATTCACTTTATTTTATAGTAAATTTATTTTCTTATTATTTTTCTGTTCAAATCTACTATTGTTATCGGTTCTTTTATAACAAATAATAAATAATAACAACAATAATTTGAATTTTTTATTTTATAACACAAATTTTTTTTTCTTTGGGTTGACATTTGCCAATACGCTAAATTGCGAGTGAGCACTATTCGGTTAAAACTAAAAAATTGAACCAAACTCGAATCGAATTAGCAATTTCGATTCGATTTTGCATAAAAAATTTGAAAAAAACGAAACCAAAAACTAAAATTCTTTCGGTTTGGTTTGTTTTTTTTAAAAAAAAATTGGTTTCTATCGATAACCGAATTAGTGTTTTTCTTTTTCTCTAACTTTTGCCATGCATTTCAAAGCGCGCACACACATATGACAAAGATATCTATTGAATGGAGAACTATATATATATATATATATATATAACAAAGATATCTATTGAATGGAGAACTAAAAAAATAATCAAGTCTTATTTTCTTATCATTTTTCTTTTCAAATCTACTATTGTTATCATTTTATAACAAATAATAAATAATAACAACAATAATTTGAATTTTTGATTTTATAACATAATTTTTTTTCTCCGGGTTGACACTTGCCAATACGTTAAACTACGAGTGAGCACTATTTGGTTAAAATTAAAAAGTTGAACCAAACTAAATCGAATTAGTAATTTCGATTCGGTTTTGTATAAAAAATTAAAAAAAAAAACCAAAAACTAAAATGATTTCAGTTCGATTTGTTTTTTTTTAAAAAAAAATTTGATTTTCATCAATAACCGAATTAGTGTTTTTCTTTTTCTCTAACTTTTGGCATGCATTTCAGAGCGCGCACACACATATGACAAATTGAATGGAGAACTATATATATATAGCAAAGATATTTCTTGGAAAGAATATAGTATTGTTTTGTTCTGAAATTTCCAGTTGCAAAGTTAGAAACGTAAGCATATATTGATGACATAATCCGCTATCCAAATTTGAGTCAAACATCAGAGGGTGTAAGGAACTTTTTATGTCTACTTCTTCCAGTTCTAGCACAACTGTGATGACTGATGAGGAATCAAGGCATAGTCCCAACCTTTCCCGTTTACAAAAGTTTTTTTCAATTACTTTTTATTTTTTGTAGTACTAGAATCCAATTATTTAGCAGTATTTTTTTTTTCAGATAAAGAATCCTATTTTTCTTAAATAAAAAGTAAATGATAATGGTCTTCTTATGCTTCATTCATGAATCAATTTTTTTGTCAGGTTAGAGAAGGATTTTTATTCTTGAAAAACTTCTCCCTCTTTTTTGTATGATTTTAGATATTAGTCTTAGCTATTTAGTATTGACATAACCCAAAAAATAGTAAATTTGATTTAGATTGATGTAAAAATTGATTTGAATATACTAATTTATTATTTTTAAATATCAAATAATGATAATAATAAATTAATTACTTATCATGTTATTTTATTTCAAAGCATCTCATATAGTATAACCCATGATTCCTTTATTAATATGCCAGTTCCAGGAGCTATTTACCTCGGAACTTCAATTGTGGCCAGTTCTGGAATCTGGATCCTCCCAGCTCCCTTCATTCGTTGCAGATGCACTCACTTCATTGTTACAGCCAACCCTTAAATACTACTAATCAACATTATTAAGTGTTACTCCAATGTAAGGCAAACAATCATAATCTATCTTCTTCTTTTTTTCATTTTTTATTTATAAAAAGAGTTATTTCTCTAATTTTTAATAGTTCCGAATCAACTACATTCAAGTTTGTTGGAATTAAAATTGGTGACAAAAAGCAATTAATTTAAATTTTTGAACAAAAATGATTTTTAATTGAAAATTGAAAAATTGAATAAAAAAATTCAGTTAATTGAAAATAAAATAAAAAATTTAAATTCAATCGTAAAAGCTGAATGATCACTTTACACTAAACAAGGACCAAAGTGGTAGGCCAACGAAAGAAAGAGAGAGCATTAAAAAGGAAGAGAGAGAAGTTAGAGAGGGTAAAAGAAGGGAGTCGAAGAAATGGCGGGAACCCGACCACCGCAAAATCCTAAGGATGGAACCCAACAACCATCAAAGCGCAATGGCAGATACATTACTCTCGCTTCTTCAACTTCCCTTCTCTCCCATTATCGTGTCCCACTCTCCAGCCTCTTTATTCAAGGTGCAAGAAAGACAATCCTTTTGGCGTTTGGGTCTCTGCTTCTTCAATGGCCTCTGTAAAATTCATCTTAGATAAAGAAGCTCGTGGAATGGTTCTCACTGTTATTTTTAAAGGCAAAAAGTATGTGGGTTTTCGTTGTTTTCACCAATTCTTTCTTTATTTGTTAGATGATGTTTCTTCTCCCTGAAATGGTCTAACAATGCTAGTTTATAAAATTGGTGAGTATATGATTATTTTCGGTTCTTGGGATTTCTGCGATTTGATTCTAGATTTAAAGGAGTTTAGAGGGATTTTTTTTTTTTTTTTTTTTTCATTTTTATGGCTTCACATCATGCACAAGGGACTAATTTATGGCTACATTTTGGTTGTGGGTAAAATCAAACTGCAACTGGAATTGGAATTGCCCACTTCACCTGCACTTAGACTTTTTAGTTTTATGCTTCGAAATTCATTTGTAAACAGAGAAAAAGTCTATGTGATTATCTATGGTAATCATATTGTTTTAATGTCTACAAATTTATCATGATTATCTTTGTTTATTGACTTGGTTGAGTATGTTAATGTGGCTATAATTGACAGCAAGAACACTACCCCTCCAAGCTATTTTCTCTTGGCCTCAGGTGTCATGCATGGAGGCATCCCCTGTTAGAGGTAGCAGGGTTGTATTTGTAAGTTACAGAGATGGTTTAGGCCAGGCACGCTTCTTTCCTGTGATGCTTATGCTAGTTTATGAATGCTTGGGTATTTTGAGTTTAATATGAACTTTTGACTTGCCATAAATTAGTTAGAAAACCTACATTTGAAATCCAGGTTTTTTCAATTGTTTGTTGATAGCTCTTGTTTGTACTTGAAATATTTTTGATGGGTTTCCTATCAATTATGTTTTGTTATTTGCAGGTCCAAAAGTTTGTTATGCGCTTTTTAGCATTTTCTGACTCACAAGCATTCATGTGTTTTTTGAAGGTGTGACTTCCTCTTCCCCTAGTTATAGCGCTTTGTTTTATGGAGCACGTTAGTGCATCTAATGTAACTGTAGCAGGCATGAATTGCATGGGTTAGTTTATGCTCTGATATGTCGATCAAAAAGAGTTAGATATGAAAGAAAGCCATTTGCAAATCAGGTTATTTGATGCTCAGTACATGAAAAATAGGTGTATGAAGGAAGGGAAAGCCCATTCATGATTCTTCAAAGTTCCCATGGACCCCTATTACAGTGTGATTGTCTATCATTTGAATGCTCTTGGTGAAGTATTTACTCCACACCAGTTGTCTAGCGTCTGGAAAACCCTTTAGCCTTTAAGGTATAAGAAACAAAAAGTTGGACACAAAGTTGTGATAGAGCCATCTTCCAATTATTTTGTAGGAATTATGCTAAATTTATGTCTGCACACACTGCTTAACCCAATTTGTCCTCCAGTCATCTAACACAGTACATCAATCTAAGCATCTTCAATAAGCTTCTGGCCAGTTGAATCAGCTAGCAATTGCAATTTTTATTCTACTCAGGAAAATTTGAAGGATATCAGAAATGTTGGCCCTCCAAGCAGCAAACTTGGGTCAGATGTTTCACCTCCATCTGAGTTTATCTCTGCAAATGGAATTTATGGCAGGTGATCAGAATATCTTGTCTATTCATGCATGATACCCATTGTACCTTTAGATAATCCAAAATTACAAATAATTCATGTTGTATGATTGGAATTGATGCTTATAATGATTGATTTAGAGGTGCTGAAAAATTAAGCAATGCAAATCCTGTTGGCAGTAGTAAACATCCAATACGGTCTTCATCCACTATTGGAAGTTTGCAGTACACATGCCTTGAGGCAACTGCACTTGCTCATGACTCAGAAGCTGCCTGGGCAACCTTGCCTCTCAGCTTTTCTGCTCTCCTCTCAGACTCTTGCATGGAGGCAAAACAAGGTACAGCGATTGAGATGGTCATGACCTTTGCTTCACCATATAAAACATGTATCATTCGTAGATTCTTCCTTAGCTATCAGCGACCTGTTTACTTATTGAAACTGTGAATGTTAAAATGGCAGAATCACCAACAGTACCTATGACACATGGCTCCCAAATGATGGTACTTTCTCAACTCTGAATCGGTTTCACTGATAGCTGACGCATTTGCTGATTGTATTACCATATAATTCCTGTTGGAATGTGATACAGTCTTCATCAAACAATGGAAGGATGCAATATACATATCCTGAGGCAACCAAACTTTCTCATGACTCAGGAGCCAAATTTGTGACTTTGCGATCCAGCATTTCTGCTCATCTCTCAGGCTTTTGCACTGAGGCAAAACAAGGTACAACAATTAATATCACCATGACCTTTGCTTCGCCATATAAGAAGTGTATTATTTAAAGATTCTTCCCTAATCGTTGGTCACAATATTCGAATGGCAGAACCCTCAATTATGCCCATGCCATGCGACCTCAACTCCCAATTGAGCGTACCCCCTACTCTTTAGTCTGGATTCGTGGATGGCTTATGGAATTTCTAATTCCATAAGTCACACTCTGTTACTTTGGGGCCTTTGCTTGAATTTGTATCCTTTCTATCCACAGTGATAGAATGGCATCACTTCAACTTAGCACTTTTGCTTTCTAGCTATATTATTTCAGTCTTGGCCAACATTATTTGTCTGAATCATTTTATGTTTCTTTCATCTACTTGCAGGGTTGCACGACAGGTTCTTCTTTCAACGGTTAGTGAATTTTATCTATTTTCAAATTGTAGTCATGGAGCTTAAGTGTTGGTATAAAGGTCATATTCAGCTCTGAATTTTTCCTGTATTTAATACTGATTATTGTATTTATATTTTCTTGCTATCAACAGATTTGTTGAGCAAACTTGAGATGACCATTGTGGAACTGGGAGGAGACTTATCATTGTGAATGATGCTGGTTTTGCCACAACTAAAAGTTTTGAGGTTGCTTAGCTGGACATTTTATGTGAATATCACTATCAGATTAAAAAATATCAGACCTGCCTAGGATTGTGTATGATATAACCTCATTAAAGCATTTACACAGTATACGAAACAGCGATGCTGCTGAAATTTTTTACGGTATGCTTGAACAAAGTATACTGCACTCTCTTGGCTGTACTTGGATGTTGGATTTCGCTTTTGATCTGTTAATTGCGCTATGCTGGTCACTCTATTATGAAACTGCTTGTTGATGCTAATAACTCTCTTGTCTATTTGCTGAAAGTTCTGCTTTCTTCTTTCTTTGTTTTTACCTTTTTGGAAATTGCTGCATTAATCTGTTTGTCTGTTAATTTTCACAGCCGAGACTAGAACTTCAAAAGTATAATTTGGGAAGCTTTCAGGGCTAACAGCCTTAGCTAATAAGATGGGCTTGGTTTGAGTTTCTTTCGTCTGAAAATTTAATGAGGCTGAGCTCCACTCTTTTCAATAGTCAGCCTCACTGAACATTCGTTGTACTTTATTGAGGCTGACTTACGGGGAGCCATTTCATTCTGTGCTCATTCTGAAAAGGTCCAAACTGCAGGCGAACGTAGAGCTAGTACATTAAATTTTCTTGTCCTGTACGATTCTGTGTCTTGTTCATAGAAATAAGAATCCGAATCTTGTTTACTGAATTTAAGATTCACTGAATATTGAGGGGTTAAAGTTGTAGGTTGTCAGCTAAGTAGAAATCCCTTCGGGTAGATTGAGAGACTCCTTTTCTTTTGATCAGTATAAAATGGTTGTATAGTTTTCTTGCTATACATCAATAGTAAAGTACATTGTGCTTTTTGCATCTTAGGCTCTTTATAGTACCAAAGGACTTGAAAGCTCGAACATATTGTCAGGAATAGCCCATAAACTTCAACTAAACTTGGTTTAGCCCAGTGTCAGACCATATATAATCGATGAGCTCAAGCTTATCCCAACTTTGAGCCTACCTAGTTGGGAACAAATCAAGCATTCCATAACGAATGGGCGATTTCTCTTCTCTCTTTTTTCTTACAATGTTCCTGAAATCGTCTTAACTTGAATCCGAATCTCTTCTTTTGTTTTCGGAGGTTATCATTGAAATACTACATGCTAAATGATAATTTCATAAGTCTAATTACTTTAGGTACATAATTTAGTGCTATTCTTCAAGACCTGTAATCTACCCGATAAACAAATAGATATGATATTATCTGGGGAAAAAAAGAATAACCAAATAGATGTGATGTTATCAGCACATGGTTTGTTTCAAAATCAAAAGGGACTACTACTAATGCCACTTTCTCAAAGTCACCCAAAACATTTTTCTACTTCTAATATTTTTTTTTAATGTGATATTTTTATTTTTAATCTTTTTTCATCACTTCTTTCTATTTTCTAAATTTGTTTAATGTAGCGTTTCTAATAGTTTGTGGTTAATTTTTTGAAGAAATATGACAAGTGGCAAATAATTTAACACATGTAAAATAAAATAAAAAAATAAAACAGAAAATTAAATTGCCACATGAAAAAAAAGAAGAAGAAAATTTAGTTGAAAAATAGAGAAAAAAAGAAAGAAAGAAAGAAAGAAAGAAAAGTATAAAAACAAAGGATGCTTTTCTCTCTCTTCTAAGGTTGATCAAACACAGAATTTTTCTCTCTTCGCAATTTTCTCTTTGTGATTTTATCTTTCCCATCAACCCAACCCATTACAGCTCCAATTCTTCTTCTTCTTATCTCTCCTAAACTCGAAAACTCTCAGTTGTTCCTCTCATCCCACCAAACCCTAAAACCCCCAACTCGAAACCCTCAATTGTTTCTTTAATCCTAGTAATTTGTTTGGTTTCTTTCAGGTTCATGTGACTGCAAATCCACATGAAGAACGGGAAAGTTGACATGAAGACCCACGTTAAAGAAAACCTAAAAACATACGTGGAGCTTATACATCAATCTTGACCTGTAAGGGTATGGTCATATGACCGCAATTTTGAGATGGGAGAAAGGAGTGTTGCAAGACCTGCCATGGATTGTACTTCTGTTCTCGGTGAATGTTTATAAGGGTTAGGAAGGATTAATATGGAATGATTTGTATTACTTTGAAATGATTATCTCTCTCGTCTTTTTTTTTTTTTTTTGCCTTCCATTTGTCCCCCCCAAAAAAAAAAAAAAAAAAAAGAGGAAATTAATTAATGAATCCAAAGAGATTTCAGTGTTCATGTTTGTGTGTTTGGTATATTTATGTTATATTAATGTATTAAACAATGATTTTTTGATGTAAGATGCAAATTATATATGCATCATTGAATCATAAGTTTTTTTGAAATACGGCTGGAAGAAATTTTATTCATTTGATAAAAAGGGGTATTCTCATTAAGGTTTAATGATAAATTTTGTTTTTCTTCTGTTGCAATTCAACGTGATTTAGCGTTTTTAGACTTTTAATATCAAATTACGTCATTTGAATATTAAATTATTGATTTTTGAGTAAAATTTATTTAATTTATCTAATTGATGTTATATATAACGGTCAACTTAGATACCAAAACGACATAGTTTTAACATTTTGTTGTTAATTATGTTTTTTTTTAAAAAAAATATTTTAAGAATATTTTTAACCTTCTAATCTTAAAATCTTAAATCAAATTTTATAAAATATTATAAACATTTTATAAATTATATAAAAAATATTTTATAAATATTTTTAACCCCTAATTTTGAACTTTTTAAAAGCTTTTTTTATATAAAATATTATAAATATCTTATAAAAAATGTTTTTTAATAATTTATAATTTATAAAATTAAGGAGTCAAACCTTAATTATACTCATTTTAATTTATAAAATATTTTTTTAAGGCCTGAAATTGTGTATTATTAATTATGTTTTTTTACAAAATTTTATAAAATATTTATAAAATATATATTTTTATATAATTTATAGGATGTTTATAATATTTTATAAGAAAAAAGGTTTTTTTCTTTTAAAAAAATTCAAGATTAGGGAGTAAAAAATATTTGAAAAAAAAATTAACAACGAAATATAAATATATATATAAAACCGTTATTTTGGCATTCCAAATAACAATCGGTATATATAACGATAGTTTAAAAAATTGGATTAATTTTGCTCAAAAACCAATAGTTTGGGTTCAATTACGTAATTTAATACTAATTAAGGGATCGAAATTACCAAATCGTAATAAAATAAGGACAAAATTTACCATTAAATCTTCTCCTAACATCTATGTAGCTAGGAATTTGATATCAATGTATGTTGCCTTTAGTTTTTTAATCCACGAAAATAAACTAGTCGATGAAATGCCTCTTAAAAACATTATTACTTGGACCATGATTATACCACTTGCTTGGATTACTAACAAATGTTTTCTATATCATGTTTGTGATACTTTCTACTTATGAAAAGCAATTTTTAGGACTCTTTATTAGTTAAAAATTACTTTTTAAAATTTTTAAACCCTCAGTAATCGTTTAGACAAACTTAACATCATGCTTTTTAATCTAAATATTTATAAGATCCAATTAAAATTAAATATAAAAAAATAAAAAATATATAAACTCCAATTATGCTTGCCAACTACAAAACAAGTGGTTGGCCAATAAAAAAATTTACAAAGAGCAAAAAATGTTTTCTCCATCTAAAGAGATCAACCAACATATCATTGGTGACATAAATTTTACGTGACCATTAACTTGTTGAATTTTTTATAATAAACCGAGATGTAATAGAATCAACATAAATAAATATAGTGACTAAGTTTTTTTTATTTAACCGTTGAAAGTGAGTACTTTTAATCGTAGTGACAATAATGTAGGTAATAAATAAACTATGAATTAAAAGAAAAAGTGAATGCATTATTATTGTTGCTTGTGCAATCGGCATAATAACATGAAGATGCAAAAGCATGTAACTGCCGATGTTCTTGTTATTTAAAATTTTATAACTTTTATTATCTAAAAAGATGTTTTGAGAAATCACATATGTATAAAGATCTTAAAAAGGCAAAAGAAATGCACTAAATCTATTTATATAAAAAAGGAATAGATTATAATGAAAGAAAGTGAGTAACATTTACATTTTTTGGAAAAACTATAGTTTTAGTGCTCAATCTTTGATTATTTTTTTTTCATTGTCCAAACGATAAATTTTTTATTTCAGTGTCCAACTTTAATTTATTTTTTTTAGAGTGTCCAAAATTATCTGAAAATATGAAATATTGACATATCCTAGATGACCTGCTAAGTGGTATTTTTTATGGTCATGTAGAAGTTAATTTCAGACAAATAAATGTTTTATACTTTCACGCATATATATATATATAGAAGAAATTACTAGTTGGGTATTGAAAAAATAAAAATAAAGACTAAGCACAAAAAATAGAGCTTTCTTATGAAAAAAAATAGAAAGACTACAACAAAGTGAGGTTTTATGCTATTATTAATCCTCCCAACAAATGAAGAAAGAAACAAGTACGCATTATGGGGCATGAACATTTTCTGGCATTCTTTTTAGCACATCTAATCATTAGGGCCATTATTACCTATGACTATCTTCTTCTTTTTGGTTGATTAACCGCATAAATTCTGCTATCTGACCCACATTTAACAAGGATAGAAAGTCGGCAGGCGTGCAAAAATGGCAGTCTCTAGTCTTGAGTCTCGAGTCAACAAAACAAGTTGAATACATATCTTGAAGAGAATTTTTTTTAAAAAAAAATAAATAAAAATTAGCGACCGCGGTAAATGTAGGTGAATGAGACGAGCGAGCGAAGAGGCGGCAGTAGGGCATGCTAATGCAACAACAGTTTCAGTTTATAGCTTTTTTTTTGGGTCTAATCATAAACCCTAAGAATAAGACAATATAATAATATAAAGAGAGGAGAGGGATTGCCGTTAAAATAATGATATGATATAACAATAGTTTTCTTCCGGTACTATTAAATTTAAATATTAATCATTAGTTTGCTAGATTATAATCTCACAGGGCCCCATATTTTGTTAACGAGTGGATGCAATCAATAAAAACATACACTTCAATTTCATTTATTAAAAATTAATTTACTTGCCTTAATCTTTTTTTCAGTATTTTTCTCGATTATTATAAATTTCACATTATTTCGAAATGATAATTTCATAAGTTTAATGACCTTTGGTATATAATCTAGTGTTTTTTTTTTTTTTGAAAAAAAACATTGTTTAATTATAATTTATGCTTGCAAAATTAGCTCAATTGGGGAGTAAATAGAATGACATGGACAAATAATTTTCAGATATGATGAAAATTGAACCCACATGTCAGATGAAAGATGTTATATATATATATATATATATATATATATATATATATATATAAGGATAAAATCACAGGTTAAGTTGAAGAATTAATTAATGAAACTAATAATATACATCTAACCCAGAAAAAGAACCACCAAAACGAGGTGCTAAATTAACCTGCCATATAGTATAAATTAGCTACTAGCTAGGGCAGTTACAATTGAACTTTCTAATAACTGATGAGGGAAAAAGAAGAAGAACCAAGAGCATATCTATATTACAACAGAAATTAAGCCAACTAATTATTAGACAACTCCATTTAAACTAACTACTTTCATTACTTAGTTGACTCACGATCACCATGCATTTCCTAGTAACCTACCTCAAAATAAATAAATAAATATTTAAGTTACCGATCTTTTTTTTTAATACTAGAACTTCAGTTTGCAGTTTGCATTATTATCACTGATTCTCCACTATGTTCCTGAAAGTTAATATTCAATCAATTGAATTCTTATATATCTATATATTCTCTAATAGTTTTTATTTTTCTTTTATTTTATCATGTTTTTTAATGATGAAAGTACCCCTTTAAAAAAAAATTACTGATTTGTAAAAAATCTTAAAAAAAAAAAAAAAAATTCAAAATCCCAAAATACTTGAAAATGATCCAAAAAAAAATTGAAAAAATCACAGAGGGAAAAAAATGAAAAGAAAACAAAAAGAAAACAAAAACAAAAACTTGAAAATCTCTAGTACTAGTGAAAAACTTAAATTGCCGCCCTAGACATTGATTTTCATCACTGTATTGTGGACGAGCACATTTAAAAAAACAATTGAACTTTACAACTTATTTATTTATTTGTGTTTTTCAAGTGTTATTTTTGTTTTCTAAAGACTTTTTTTTCTTCTTTTGAATTTTTTCATATGATTTTTTCTTTAATTTTTTGAAGATACTTTTATCCTAAAAAGTGACGACAAGAACTATTGGAGAAAATGTAAATTTTTGAGTTAGTTACAACTTAGTCTTTATGGTTAAATATTGAAATTGATGAATTAGACATCGTGGTTTGAGAAAAACTATATAATCTCTTTTAAAAAAAAAAAAATTATAACTTACTTTTTTCATCAATTCCATGATATTTTTGAATTAATTTTGTCTTTTTTTTGTTTTTTTTTTTGAAAAATAGTAGAAGAAAGAAGGAAGACTTAAGTCATAGAAATTTGATTTGGGAAAAAGATATATTTGAAACAAAAAATTACTAAATTAAACAAGTACGTACGGATCCTTTCAAGGGAGTAATATTTAATCATTTTTTATGCTATAGATACTAAGTTTGATAAATTAAAGGGTCAAGCTGATTATAATTTACTCACAAATGTATAAAGACTTATAATTGTTTGATTTTAAAATTCAGGTATGTTTATTTCAATCAGATTTTGCATAAATCTTCATAAATTATACTAGTACATTTTGATTGATAAAGGAAAATTAATAGTAAGGCACTTGACAGTTGAACAGGAGGATGGAGTTACTGTGGAGATACATAGATGGAGGTGCCATGGTCCTAGCTCTCCTTCATTCCCCACTGTATGTATATCTCATAATGGTGAGGGATACAGGGATTAAAAAAACAAAAACTCTTATCCTGAAGGAAGGAGGTGGGGGTAGAGGAGGGTAATGAGGACAGGAAGCAACGAAGAATGGTACGTAAGAGGAGTGAAAGAGATGACAGCAAGAGCAACATCAGTCTGGGATCCAGTTGAGGCAACATCTATCCTTCTCAATACTCTACTTATTGGAAGACTGTACTGTCCCCTATTATTCTTTGTCTATGCTCAACAGGAACTCTGTCGCCCCTCCTTTTTTTTTTTTTTTTTTCCTTTTTGGTTACCTCCTTTTAATTTGTTAGTATAGGACAACATTATTATACTTTATGATGGAGAATGAAAGACAACAATGAAAATTAGTATTTGATTATTTAGAAATTTTAATATTGTATGTATGTTTGTGCTAGAATTTTAGTATTATTTCAAAATATTACTATTTAAATTAAGATTTTTTGTTTTTTGAATTAAGATTTATTTAGTACGTATAATTAAGTATCAAAACATCAAAGAATTTTAACTGTCCACTTGTACTTAAATTTATTAACAATAAAATTTTAGAAAATGTTAATAAATTAAAGTAATACAAGAATCATTAACAAGATTACCACTAAGAGGAACACGTTTGATCTTGAAAGGGACCAAAATAAAAGGGATATACTCAAATTTTAGAGAAAACAAGACAAAGAAGATACAAGCATTATTTTTATTCAATAATTCAACTGTCCATAATAGAATGTCTTGATACTTATTTATAAGAATGTACTTTTTTTTTAATTTCATTGCAAGGGATAATATCTTCAGATTAACTTATAAATCAATTGAAATCAAACATTCTTTAAAGATTATTTTAAAGAAGCTATTTTATAAAGTTTGATATATTAAAAAAAAAAATCCTTTCAATACGGATCTCAAAATAAAAAGTTAAGAAAATTTGAATAATACTTGAGTGTGACACTCTTACTAGATTTTTCGATTAATCATATAGCATATCAGAGTAGGTAATAAATATATTATAAGTTGTGGATTATAAATTTTTGCTATATACATGTGCCAGTACGGTTAGCAGACAACTATGAGTAAAACTGTTTGTATAACGGAATGCTCCATTGTTATCAGTATATGCTTCGACCAACCACTCTGCACTGCAGCACTAACAGAATTTAACATGTCAAATTCAATTTTTAGACGCAATAAATTCTTCGACTAGGCCATTCCCGTCCCGCTTCCTGTCCAATTCCGAGTGTATTTTGCATATCATTTTCGTCCCAAACAAAACAAAAATGAAACAAGATACCGCTAGATTGTTATTTCTAAAGATAAAAAAGATAGGACGGGATGAAAATGACAATCCTTGTCCTAACCTCATGTTCCTTTCGAGGTGTATTTTGCATATAATTTTAATCCTAAATGAGACAAGACGAGATCCCATTGAGATGGATAAAATTATCATCCCTATTTTCGACTAATTTCCCAAACACTGATGTTTTTTTTTTTACAAAAATAGAATTAGGATATATATATATATATTAAAGCCCTTAATTATAGGTGCTACTTTACCAAATTACCTCTACTAAAGAATCATCATAACCTAGAAAGAGGCAAGCAATGACACTATATATCAAGGGGACCTTACCTTTAGATTTCTAACAAAAATTCAGAGGCACAGTCCCTGAATGTCACAATCATGTCATTTCCATGGTTCTATCATCAGAACTCCTGGCAGATTCCTGATGGGAACCCTAAAAACCTTGGACCACTATTTTACACCTACACCTACCTAGCTAGTGGGCTTAAAAAAGAGCTCGCAGAAACATGCATGTTTGATGAAGCGCACGGTTTGTGGGGAATTCTCCTTTAGTAACTTGAAGGCATCACATCGTCACCGAAGTTCAAAGTAGAATAAAAGGACATCACATAAAAAAATAACACAAATTATTCTAATTTTTCACAACAAGTATACTTAAGAAATTGTTATATATGTTACAAGAAATCTAGTAGTTACCCTCATTTTTAGTAAGTAGTAATAATAATTTGTATTGGTAGTTGATAGTATTCTTTCTTCTTTTGTAAACATATTATTTATGAGAGTATTCTCTCTCTCTCTCCCAATTATATATCCTAGTATATGCTTCTTGGCATGCGCTTTATATATATATATATATATATATATTGTTTAGAATTTATTTATAAATGAAGAAATTTGAATATTTATTAAAATAATTTATAAAAAATATTCATTTTAATCCCTATAATTTTCAACAAAGAAAGTTTTTGATCCTTAATTTTTTTTTTATCATTTATTTATAAGTTCAAATCAAAATAAATTAGTGGATATTAATAGAGTAAAGAGTAGATACTCATACCCCGAAATCATATTATTGGGTACATATTTTTTTTACTCTTACCCACTTCAATATCCATTAGATATTTTTAATAGGTATTTATTGGATCGGATAAAGCCGGTATCCATTTTGTATTCGACCCATTATCATCCCTAGTAAAGGGGGACTATTTCAATTTAAAAGGTTAAGTTGTTAGGTGTGGTCCTAGGAATGATTTTATATTACTCTTTAGCATACCTCCTCAAGTAAAAGCCTTTTTAGACTTGAAACCGAAAGGATCATGCATCTTATGGAGGTGCGGAATAAACAAAAATTTTCCTCTATCTAAGGGCTCAAAATCATGCTATTGAATCTACTAACTATACATGCATGAATATAAAGCTATAAATAAAGAATTACCTCTTGTACCACGGATCTAAATTTCGTTTTTTGAAAAGCCGTCTAAGTGTCCGACCTCTATTGATGATCCATGCAGTCCAAGTATCCATAAAGAAGCAATCAAAATCAATGGGGTGCTAGCTCCACCTTTTCCGATTTAGTATTTCCTATAGAAATCAATCATGAGGAATTTTGCGATAACCTTAAAGGAGAAGGAAAGAGTATAGCTTGTAAGGGTTTAGGAGAAAATTATTTTCTCCTTTATTTTTTCTCTTGGCCATGTGCCCTCTACAATTTTTAGGGTTGACCGAAACTCTCTCTCTCTAAAAACCCTTATGTTGGTCGAATTTTCTCTCTCCTCTTATATATTTATAGAAGAGTTTCCTTATCCTCAAAGGACAAGAAGAGGGGCGGCAATGAGTCTATAAAGGACTCTAGATTGTTGTTTCTTTATCCTCCAAGGATGAGAAGTTATTTTGTATGTGAAATTTTTTATCATTATCTTTAAAACATCAAATATTCAACCTTATCTAATAAGGTTGATGTTTATTCTCCCATCAAAATATCTTAAGGCTTTTAATTAAACCTAATGGGTCAAAACTATTTTAGCTCAATTAGTTTATTTGGACTACCTAAATAAATATTCTTAAATTATTTTAGCGAGGTCCTCATTATGAAATAATTTTCCAAAATATCCTTTTAACCTAAATTAGGAAACTCCTTTCCTTTTAGGTTCTTTATTTTCAAATTTGAAACTAACTTCTAAATTAGAAAATCAATTTCTAAAATAAGAAACTTTTCATTTTAGAAAAATTCCCAATTACGAAAAATTTCCATTTTAAAAATCCTTTCCAAAACGAGAAAAATTTTATACTTGAAAACTTTTTCCAATATCTTTGCTTCTCACTTACAATGTGAATACTTAAACTTATGCATGTGACTCAATAGGCTTTTAGATATGTTGGTAATGTATTAAGAACAAGAGACTCCTCTTTTATCTCTTGATACATAAATCAAGATTGGTCTCTAACAAGGCATCATGACTACCCAACTCTTTAGGAGGATTAGTTAATGCATTATTACCTTTCACGAGCATGGTTATCATACAATTCAGCCCTTATGTTAACTTATCATAGTGTGATCTCGAACTTAGTTATAAGTCTTGTTTGATTATGATCACATAAGTTTTTTTCAATGCTCAAATGTCTTAGTCGTTAGAGTAAACCAACTATGCTCTATTGGTGTACTCCTACTATGGTCATAAATTTCTTGAATAGACATTTATCGAAGTGCAATGTGATAACTCCTTTAGCATACAAGGAATGACATGTCCTAATTAGTCATACACCTCGCCTACATTAAATTTCTAGTGCACCCAACAAATCGTCCATGTGTAACCCTTTAATGGGTCCATCGAAACGAGTGTCAAAGTGCATAAATCCTCTAATAAGACAATCGTGATGGCTTCAACTTTAAGGACCATATGTACCTATCTCGTATGAGATTCCCATAGACTAAAACCAAATGAGTTCTCATGATGAGTAATGTCCAAGTGATATGTTCTCTAACATTAATCACCTAAGTGCTTGCTTTGACATCACCATGCTAATAGGTGTGAAATCTCTAACTCCTATCATATAGCATAACTATAACACTCACAAGTCTATCTCGCATATTGTTAGTGTTCATTCTTGATAATGCTATGACTTGGGACGTTTAATGATATCATTTATTAGCATTAGTATTTGTCTCACATCTTTCGATCAATCACTATTGCAAATACATATCATAAGGACTTCTACTAAATTTATCAACATGTAAACATAAGAATTAATATAATGACTTTATTATTATTATTAAAATAAATAATACAATAATATATTAACTCAAGTCCATCCAAACATAGTTGAATTTTAGGCGCGAACGCCGATAGAAACTTATATAGGTTCACCATAATATTGTACTTAAATATAATTAGAAGAGAAAGTAGGAGTAGTAGGATTCAAATTTATGAATGTTTAGTTAACAAAACTTTAATACTCGTCAAAGGATCTTTTCAACCTAAAAAAGTTAAATTTTTATGTGAAGCCCTAGAAATAGTTTTATATTATTTTTTAATAAAGTACAAAAAGCTTTTACTTAAGTAAATATATTAGAAAATAATATAAATTATATCATGGAATCTTATCAAATCCTTTCACTTTTTTTTTATCTTGGTCTAGTCTAGGTCAATAAACCGAGTCGAGAGCAAACCCATCGAGACTATCGGGAAAGAAATGGATCAACAGACTTTTCTTCATATGCTACTTTAGCCATCTAGTTCGGATAGATCCTTAGGTGGGTCCTAGGACATTATTGACTTCGATGTACTTGGTAAGTTCGGACACTTTAGACATTTATTTGCACCGAGGAGGAAATCGTACATATGTGCACCTTCCATAGCTCTCAAGCATTCCTTAATGGCTATGAGCTCCTCGGTTTTGAGTTCTAAAACTATCTTTTCCTTGGCTAACTCTTCGGTGATGAAATCAATAGTTACTACTATCGATGGTTGGACGAGTTCCACGTAACGTAAGAGCAAGGCCTAAAGTTTTAGGAGTAACTCACACATACCCTTTGGTGCGGGATAATTGGCATGATTAGTAATAACAATAGGCTTGAAATAAGACATATTAAAAAGTGGTGCTAGAGTAGCAGTTTGAGTGATCGGATATGACATGGTGGTGAACACTTCGAAAAAGTGGATGAGCGGCCAATGTTCTTTGGACGATAATTTTTGAAGACATGTGATTTTGCTAACTATGTTCTAACAAAGTAGTAAGCCTAGAAACCTCTCCTTTTAGCATCTTTGTCTCCTTCTAGTGATTTTGCTCAAGTAGAGCTTTTTTTCATTTTTTCATCTTTTTCCTTGCTCTAGTGTGGTGAATACATAAGGAAAATAGTTTTGGCAAGTCGACTTATGTTTCTGCTTAAACAAAAGACAACAAATACAAGATGTAGATAATCTATTAACAATAAAACAATACTAAGACTAAATATGGAATAGCCTTCATGTAGGGATGATAAGAGGATCCAATTGTCGATTCTTTGACATTTTAAAATTATCCCAAATTTGTTTAAAGATGAAATTGGGCTTCATCGTAACCCTTAAAACATTCGATCGAGCTTTGAAACCTCTTTGGTATTTAGGTATTATAGAAACCGGACTTAAATCCTCTTATCACCCATTCTAAAACATTGTGACCCAATTGGTCTATCAAGATTTCAATACATCCGACTTGCCCGGTGAGTTTACTTAGAAATAATGATCCTAAGGTTTAGTTCTAAGTTATTACATGAACGGAATAAGATTTATCTAAGTCTCAAATAGGGTCTCTTTAATCCCGACGAATCATAGTAGAATCGTTGGAGTCGCTAAAGGCGATCATTGGTAAGCATGAAAAATCCTCAATTAACCATCAAACAATAACAACTAGCAAGAAGAGTTAAGATTTTATGAGTGTTTACCTATGATGAAACCCATTGGGCACCACTACTAGCTCCCTAATTCTCGAGGCAAGTGTGCGATAAAAAGTAATGTTGAGTGTAGTGTGTGCATAGACATTATTCCATATTTAGTTCCAAAAATAAGAACAAAAATAAAGAAAAATAAAGACATAAAATGAAGATAAAATAAAAATACAAGGCAAACAATGACAAAAGGCATGAATTTAAACGAGGTGCATAAATTACAAAAATTGGTATACATGCATAAAAATTCATCATATCGTTAGAAATCAAATTGAAAAATTACATGCAAAGCTTAACCCTAAGTATGTCCCAAGTGGAGTCGCCTACTACTATTATGGTTCCTAGGAAACCATATAAATGGTCTATTTAGAGTTTTGAATAAGGGGTTTATTACGTGCGAGTAAGATTAAAAATCACCCCTACCCTGTCTTGCCTAAAGCAAGCTACATTGCATACAACATTGATTTAATTTTTAATTTATAATGATGAAAGTCTATACCTATTTCTAAACATTTGCCCATCGATAAAGTGATTTGGGACTTGGCTAGTCGAGACCTTATCATCACTCTATAATGAATGGTTAAAAAGTAAAAAGACATGATGAATGTAAGGGTATATGGCTAATACAACTTACATAGTATGTGTGAAAATAAGACTTAAAAATAGGTAAATGGGCAAATAGACAAAATAAGCAAATCAAGCAAAATAGGCAAATAGACAAAATTAACAAATTGATCAAATTGGCAATTAGACGGATGGATAATTAAGCAAAATTAGCAAATCGGTAAAGTGAGCAAATAGATAATTAGGCAAATTAGGCAAAATTGACAAATCGACAAATAGGGCAATGGAAAAATATGTAAAATAGGCAAAATCGATAAATAGACAAATAGACAATTTGGCAAGATAGACAAAATTGATAAATTGACAAATTGACAAATAGGCAAAATTGGTAAATCGACAAATAGGCGATTAGGTAAAATTGAAAAAATCAACAAATAAGCAAATAGATAATTAGGTAAAATTGACAAAATCAACAAATAAGTAAAATCGACCAAAAAAAAATCAACAAAATTGGCAAAGGCTATAAAAACAACAATAAAAAAAGACAAAATTGACAAAATTAGCAAAAATGAAAAAATTGACAAAAATCATTAAAGTTGACGAAAAACAATTCGAAAACAAGATTAAGGTCGACAAGACTTCAAAAGTTATGATTTTTAGACAATATCGACAAAATCGTTGAAATTGAAAACAAGGTTCGGATCGACATAACCTCAAATATTGTGATTTTAGGAAAAATCAACATAATATCAAATTAATTCTCATAATGTACAAAAACAATCCGAAACAAGGCTTGGATCCACGTGGCTTAAAAATCATATTTTTTCTTAAGATAAATTAGCACGAGTATTAATTAACCATTGTGAAGGGCAAAAATGATTCCGAAATGAAATTCGAACCAATGCCATTTAAAAGTCACATTTTTAATGAAACTTCAAAATTAATCGATATTTGATGAAACTAGTCCAAACAACGAGGTTCAAGTCGGCAAGATCCAATATTGCATTATTAGATAAAATTATCACGTGAGTGACATAATGTTACCTTCACAACAAAAAAAATGATCAAAAAACGTAATCGAAGCCAACACGAAGTAATAATTGCACATTTTTAGTACCAATTGACACAATTGGATTAATGATCATGGTCGACCAAAAGTGTTCCAAAAACAAAATTCAACCTAGCGCATCTTAAAAATCACACAAGTAATAACAATCCACTCAAGCACACCAATAACTATGAATATCGATCAACCGATACCAACATAATGACAGTTTAATTAAATCATATGCACTATAATAATTTAATCGGATCATTCATAAGCGAGCAATTTTAATAAATTTACACGAGCATAACAATTTAATTAATTATGACACATCAGCTCGAATCAAATTTAATATATATTAAAATAAAATAAAATGAAAGGTAAAATAAATTACTATAAAAAGTAGAATTGATTGGATTATTGAGTTGAGGTTAATTTCAACTCTTTTCAATCTTGATAGAGACCGATATCCAATCTATTTAGAAGGACAGACATGCTATTAATGATTGGATTTGGTCGGACGAGTATGATGAGGTTGTTGGATCAAGTCGATTGGATGATGTGGGGCTCGCTGGTCAGTTGTTGGGTTTGGTTGAAACCAGCTTTGGTTGCTTTGCTACAGATTGAAAGGAGGGGTTCCGATTGGTTGTTGGATAGATTGGGCTACTAGATCGATTGTTGGTCGGTTGTTGGATTGCTTTGCTACGGTTGGTTCGAGTTGGCGAAGGGCTAATGAGGTTGGCCTCGAACTACTAAAAGCACTAAACTGGTTGGAGGTGGACGATGTGGTTGTTGGATTGACTAGAGGTGTAGATCGGACCGAACTAGGCTACAAAAAAGCCGGCTTAGTTAAATCAACAAAGGATGAAGGAGGAAGTTACCACGATCGAAAGAGGTATAATTGGAGGCTAGAGGAGATTGATCGGTGATTGGGATGTCGAACGGTAGTAGCCTCGGATGACCGGAATGGTGAGGGGAGAAGCTGGATCGGTCGAGAAGATTGACCGGAGTTTCTAGAAGGGTGCTAGCTTAGTTTTATAGAGAGTGAAGGGCTAACTAGATTCCATTTTTATGGGAGACGATCGATTAGATTTTCTGAGAGAGAAAGTGGTCAAAATTTTTTAGGAAAAAAATGGTATTTATATTGATTTTTTAGGGTTTTTGGCTAAAGTTTGGTTTAGTCCCTCATATCGTGAACCCTCTTTATTTTGGTTCTTTTCTCATTCCTTTTTTGATTGTATCCCTCAATTGCATATTTTTAGTCCCTTTTATCTTTTTTTATTTTTTGGAATCTTTTGGGAAAATTTTGAGTGTTAACAAATAAGGCAAGTCAAGAATATGTTTGGCTATGACCAATGACCTATCATATGCAAGAGACATGCAGTTTATCTACTAGTGAAGAAATTCTAACAATATCATATGAAAATAATATTATTTGTATAATTCAATTAAAAGAAGAACACATGAAACCGATAATCCGACAAACTAATTCACTAAGGCATTACTTACCAAACCTTTTTAGAAAATGATTCACAAGAATATTATAACCTTTTTCCTTCATTAGAATCTTTTTCCATTGGGTATCTTCCTAGTAAGGTTTTAACAAAGCATGTTCCATATACGATGGACATTCAAGGGCGAGTGTTATGAAATAATGAATGTTCATGACCATTTTATATTCTCACTACTCATGTGATTCAATTCACCATTCAATATAAGAAATTAAAAAGGTGATGCAACTTATTCAATTATTTATGCATCTTTTAATGGTTTACAATCTCTTTTAATTCTCTTCATGATCTTAAAGCCTATAAATAGGCTTGATTGTTGACTTCATGTTAAAGGATCAGTTGTATCTATCTTGTATGAGATTCTTATAAACTAAACCAAATAGGTTCTCATGACAAGTCAAGTCCAATGATATGTTCTCTAACATTAATCATCTAAGTGTTTGCTTTGGCATCACCATACCAATAGGTGTGAGATCTCCTACTGCTATCTTATAGCATGAGTATAACACTCACGTGTCTTATCGTATATAGTTAATGCTCATTCTTGACAATGTTCTGACTTGGGACATTTAATGATATAATTTAAGTGCATTAATATTTGTCTCACATCTTTCAATCAATCATCAATGCAATACATATCATATGGACTTTTATCTAATTCTATCAATAAATATAAACAACAAGAATTAATAGAAATGCTTCTTTTATTAATAAAATAAAGAATGCAATAGTATAATAAGTTAAACATATCCAAACAAGGTTGGATCTTAGGCACCTACTCTAACGAGTTCCCCATATCATCAAATTAGTGAGAAACTCCTGATCAAATTCTTTTACTAGGGACTTTTCCTATAGGATAGGGCCATGATAAATGCAGCCAATGGTGGTGCCTTGGTAGATAAGATGCCAAAAGTAGTTATAATTTTAATTTCTAACATACTACTAACACCCAACACTTCAATACTCGATATGATTCTCCCCTCTAAAGAAATTAAATGAAGTTATTACCTCTACACTTAAGTGACAGATTACGAGATTAACTTCCCCGATAAGACAAATGGCGAGTGAATGGCCTTCGACAAGTGAAGATGTGCAATATTTATTCGGTTATTGGACACCCTACCGATATATGTCCTACTTTGCAAGAAGATCATACTGAATAAGCTAATGCTATTTATGATTTTCTAGGGTTGCTATTATAAAGAAGGTATGATAACTATTATAACATATACAATCCTAGATGGAGAGATGACCAATATTTGAATTATGAGAATAATCAAGGTGGTGCACAATAGTAAAGATCCCGCTAACCACGATTCCGAAAGCAATAAGCTTTAACTTCTAGTTTTAACTCTTCATTGGAAGGCATGGTGAAAATATTAGTTCAGAATACTAAACTTCAAAACAACACAATGCAATTCTAATAACAAACAAGATAAAAAATTCAGAACTTAGAGAATCAAATGAGTTAGATCGCTACTACTATAGGTAGATTAGAGGCCCAAAGTTTAAGCAAACTTCCCTCTCCAATAATTATGAATCCGAGAGAGAATACATGTGCCATAACCTTGAGACATGGGAGAGAAGTAGAGGCATAACATAATACTCCTATAGTAGAAGATGATGGAAAGACAAAAAAGGAACTTGAAGTGCTTCTCACATGCCCTAAGGTAATTTCTCTAACTCTTGTGAATAAAAATCCAATTAATGCTTTAACTCTTGTTCTAAATAGATTTGCTAAATCAAAGAAAAAAAAGCAAGATAAGGAGATATTAGATATGTTTAGAAAAGTTAAGCTTAACATACCTCTCATTGATGCCATAAGTAATTTTTAAGATATGCTAAATTCTTGAAATAGTTATGCACTTTCAAAAGGAAGTTGAATACAAATGAAAAGGTATGCGTGGAAGAGAATGTACTTGTAGTAATTCAAAGAAAACTTCCCTCTAAAGTGCAAAGGCCTAGGTACATTTACAATCCTTTGTGCAATAGGTAAAACTAGATTCAAAAAGGCCTTGCTAGATTTTTGGAGCTTTAATTAATGTCATGCCATATTCCACTTATATGATTATCAATTTGGGGCCTTTAAAAGAAACCGAGTGTTATAATTGAATTAGTGAATATATTTATTGCCTACTTTAAATGGGTAGTTGAGGGCGTTTTTGTTCAAGTTAACGAGTTAGTTTTCCCAATAGATTTTTATGTTTTGAAAATGGAGGAAATTCATCCACTTTAGTACCCTCTTTTTGGGCAAACCTGTTTAAGTACGGTAAGGACGGAGATAGATGTCCATGATAGAGCATTGACCGTGGAATTTGATGGTAGAATAGTTCACCTCAACATTTTTAAAGCGATGATGTATCCTAGTGATGTTCATTCTGTCTTGTCTATTAATATTATTGATTGCTTATCATAAAAAGTGTTTGATTCAAAGAATCCAAATAAGTTAGAAGTTGCAATCGGTATGATTTTGAAATAAGATTCCTTGCAAACTTCTAACTTAACTTTTGACAATAAGATAAAAGAGATGGTGTTGGCTTTACATTCCTTGCCTTCAATCTTTAACAAGTTTGAAGTTGTAAAAATTAGTTTACTTATATCCCACTTGAAATTATTACCTTCGTTTTTGCATGCCTCGGTTATTAAACTCAAACCATTACCAAGCACATTTGAAGTATGCATTCCTAAGAGAAGGGGAAACACTTTCGATAATTATAACAAATAACTTAACTAAGTTACGAAGGAGAAAATCATCGAGTGCTCAAAGATCACAAAATATCTATAGGGTAAACCATAGTCGTCATAAAAGTTATTAGTGAAAGATCATGCATCCTATGGAGGAGCAAAATCAAACAAAAAAATTTCCTCCATTTAAGACTCCCAATATCATATTATTGAATCAACTAATCATACATACATGAATAAATAATTAAAGAAAGCGTTTACCTCTTGTAGTGTCAAAACTATCAATACGTAAATATGTCATCCAAGTGTTGGATCTTTATTGATTATCCACATAGCTCAAAAACACATACAAGAAGCAATAAGAAAGTATTGAGTGCTAGCTCCACCATTTTCTAATATGTCTATTTTTCTTTAAAAATCAATTTAGGGTTTTTTTTTCTTATTTTGTCATTTGTTTGCTTTTAGTTACCTTTGATGCCGCCTCTCTTTCCTGTATTTATATAAGGGGTGGCAACTTTTTTTTGTGGGTCAAGGAGATGTTGCCTATGTGGGCTTTATTTAACCTTATCTTTGTAAACCCTAAGCCTTATATAATATAACTCAAGTTTATCTTTCCATCAAAATATCTTAGAATAATTTAAATTAAGCCAATTGGCCCAAACTCTTTTAGCCAAATTAATTACCAATTAATTTAAACCATCCAAATAAATTAGGTTAAGAATTTTAGTGAGGCTCACTAGGAAATAATTTCTCAAATTACCATTAAACCTAAATTAGAAAAATAATTTCCTTTTTAGGTAACTATCTTTCAAATTTGAAACTAACTTCTAAATTAGAAAATTGATTTCTAAAATAGGAAACTTTTCATTTAAAATTTTTTTTCAACAACATGAAACTTTCCAAAATAAAAAACTTCTCATTTTAGGAAAATTTTTTCAAAATAGAAAACCTTTTCCTAAATTTTTGCTTCTCTTTTATTGTGTAAATGTTTAAATTTATACGTGTGACTCAATAAGCTCTTACATATGTTAACAATGTATCAAGAATAAAAGATACCTCTTTTATCTCTTGATACATAAATTAAGATTGGCTTCATTAAGGCATCATGACTACACAATTCTCTAAAAGGATTAATTAATCTGTAATTATCTATAATTCAATCCTTTTGTCAATTTATTACAGTTTCATCTCGAACTTGGTTTATTTTTTATTCAGTTATGATCATACAAGTTTTTTTTTATTCCCAAATGTCTTAACTCTAAAGTAAACCAACTATGCTCTGTTGGTATACTCCTATTGTGATCATAAATTCGTTGAGCGGACATTCATCGAAGTGCAATATCATAACTCATTTAGCATATAAGAAATGACATATCCTATCTTAGTCATCCACCTATCACCATTAGATTCTAAGTGTACCCAATGAATTGCATGCATAAAGCTTTTGAATGAGTGTATCAAAATGAGTATCAACATATATACATCCTCTTGAGATAATTGTGATAACTTCAAGTTAAAGGACCTATCTCTTATGATATTCTCGTCTACTAAACTAAATGGGTTCTCGTTACGAGTTATGCCTAGTGATATGTTCTCTAATATTAATCATTTAAGTGCTTATTTTTGCATCACCATGTCAATAAGTGTGAGATATTTTACTATTATCTTATAGCATTAGTACAACACTCATAAGTTTTACCATATATTATCAATGTTAATTCTTGACAATGTTA